TCTCTGTAAGAAATATTTTGTTGTGTTTTCAGGTGCAACCTACCTCCTCTGGAAAATGAATTTAAGAATGATGTTGGCATAAAGACTAACCTTGTGACAGCAAACCCAACCATCTTCATACATAAGTGAGCAAACATTTATTCTAACATGGAACTGAATTGGGTTTTTTTTATTTTTGCCTTGTTGCTTTAAGCGTTGTTGTTTAATTTGCAGGTATGGGTCACTGACGGGACGTCGCCGGCCGTTTGCAGACAGCCTCCACCAGTATGGCAACTCCCTGCTCCTCTTTCCTTGCTTCTCCTTTGGTTTTAGTAGGGGTGTGTGTCAGCGGGCTGTGTATGCCATTGAGGACATGAAAATGCCTATTCAACCAATCTTCTTAAACCCTCTGTACCTTGAAAGAGTGGTCAAATTCTGGAAATCCCAGGGGTTAAAGGAATATCGACCTAGCACTGGATTATATATAACTAGTCTGGCCCTGGAATTTTGTGAAACAGTGCATCTGTATGGATTCTGGCCCTTTAGTAATCACCCAGATAGTCTCTTTCCCCTAAATAACCACTACTATGATAATGTACCATATAATGCAAGAGTCCATGCAATGCCAAATGAGTTTTACCACTGGGTACAGCTGCACAATAAGGGTGTGCTCAAGCTTCACCTTGGAGACTGCAAATCAGGTCAGGTCTAGTTTAAATGATGGAATAAAAAAAAATGCTTAAGTGTCCAACTGCGAAGCCAAGACATTTTCACTGAAATCAATATGTATTAGTCAGAAGTAGGCTACATATTACTTTAAAAGTCTGACAATATATCTCCAAATCTCTTTAATCCTGGAACTGGTGACTCGCGGGAATTTCTCTGAGCTTCACAGCTTCTAAGTGTATATCAAGAAATTTAATATCTCACATTGAACATTAAGAAAACAATATCTGTTTGCTTTTCATTTTTAAAAAACTTTTTCTAGAATTAGATCTAAATGTGAGTGTCAGTTATTTTAGTCGTTTTTTTTTTTTAGAACAAGCTACCTGACTTGAGATCAATTACTGTCCGTACATTCAACACCAGATTCTAAATCTTTCCATTCACACAGGTCTACAGTTAATAGGTTTTGTTGTTCTGTTTTATTTTATTTTGTTCTGTTGTTTTCCCTGCCATTGTAAATTTGCCTATTTTCTTTACATTGGTGATCACATTGTGTTTCCATGTAATGAAATGTACTATGCAAATTAAATTGTCATTGTCATTAAAGGGGCTATAAACGCTGCATTCATACATGCTTTATCTATACTAATAAAAAATTGCAGGAATGCGAATACCACTACCAAATTTATCATCTGCTTTTAGTCACTTCACTGTCACTACACATCATAGAGTGGTATTACTTTACTAGTGGTGACTTTTAGTGCTGTACCAAAGATGTTCCCCTTCAGCACTGACTGTTGACAGAGCACTTTCAAATAAAAACAGTAAATGTTGTATTAATTTTATATCTACAGCAGGTTTACAGTTTTAAGACTTTAAGTGCTCAGAGAATATATCACCAGTGTCAAAAATGCCATGTCAAGCTAGCTTTTACTAGATGGAACTTTAAAACAGATGTTGCTGTGAAACATTGTTTATTTAGAAAATTCCATCATATTGGACATAAATCCAGTTTAGTAGCTGTCTAAAGGAGTTATTTATACGATGAAAACCTGATTTATAGTAATAAATAGCTTAATTAAAGTAATACCTTTACTTAAATAATGAATAAATTTGTATTCATCTACGTAAATAAGTCATCAGTAAAAACAAAACCCAAAACTTTATATGCTAATTTTATAATTCTGCTACATCTCAAGAAGTCTGTTAATAATAGATTTTATTTTTCATTTTATTTTACACTAAAACAAAATGACTCTCGATGGCAGATATCAGATTCATAAACAATACATTTACTGTATCGAAAACATATGAAGCACTTTTTTATCTGAACAAAATATTAACTGTTAATGTTCTTTGATTAAACTGATACTATTGCAATGAGCTGAAAAATCATAAGCAGAAAAGCAATCAACTACAGAAGTTTGGAAGAATATCTGTGTAAGAGTGCAACTGACCCTAATCCAAAGACATCAAACAAAATGCTATGTTAAGTTTGTTCAAGATGTTTAAGTTAAGTTTTTAAAATAATAATAATAATAAGTAGGCATGTCTTGATGCATGCTCAATCATCCAGGTAAGGAAATGCAAGTGGCAGATGGACACACTGGAAAAAAAGGGATTGGCCATCTCTTGAATTTATGTAAGCATCTTGCGTGTTCTTGTTGTGTTCTGTTCTTGCAGAAAAGAAGAAAAGCATAGATGCATTAAATTAATGGACTAATATGTTAACATTCAGTTCATTAAATTTATTTAGCACCTGTTCACAATGCCAGTGATCCCAAGGAGCTTTATATTTTAAGGCACAGACACTGCACAGAGACATATCTAATGATGAGACATCATCTTATTGGGACATTTTGGAAAGGAGGAAATGTACCACTGGATAAGGGGAATTGCAGGATGAAGAACTGTGAATAGGATGAGATGATAACAGAAATGAGCAGCAGCAAGAAAAGAATCATAAAGCAAAAGATAAAGTATAAATAATGGATGCTTCAGGGCACAGTGATTTTAGGTGAAAACTTTTAAGCAAACTAGAAATAGAAGTATGTTTATATTATGCTAGTAAATTATAAAATACAAAATTAACACATCCCACAAAAGTCAGCTTTATTTCCTACATAAAATTACATGCACAATGTACACAGATGTTAC